AAAGGATCAACCCAATGGCATGGGTCTTTGGAATCTCCTTGTGGATGCAGCCATGGACTCTCTTTGTGGGCGTGGCTATGGGGGCTGTGATGCTAAGCTTTTGCACTTCAAAATTTATATAGGAAACAGGCCTTTAGTGCTATGGTTCCCACCCTATGGAATTCAGCTCCCTAAATATTAGACAGGCGCCATCTCTGTTGTCTTTTTGGTGCCTGCTAAAGTCCTTCCTCTTCCAACCAGCCTTGTATGCTGAGATCTTTTCCAGTCTGCATCTGTATTGGAATTGTTTTAGGATACTTTAAGGACATTTTAAATAGTTCTATCGCTTGTTTGCCACTCTGGTCTTCTTTGAGAAGGGTAGAATATTAATTTAATAAATAAACGAATAACATTCACCACTATCATCATCATCTGTTATTTATACCCCGCCCATCTGGCTGGGTTTCCCCAACCACTCTGGGAGGCTCCCAACAGAATGTTATTAATAAAAAAGTGATAAAACATCAAACATCAAAAACTTCCCTAAACAGGGATACCTTCATATGTCTTCTAAAAGTCAGATAGTTGTTTATTTCCTTGACATCTGATGCGAAGGGGTTCCACAGAGTGGGCGCCACTACCGAGAAGGCACTGAAAACAGCTGTATCCTCTTCCACTGCCTTAGAACCTATGCCCAAGATTTCTGAGCATCCAGAACACAACACAGTCTCTCTATTCCCCCCCCCCCAACTTATTCCCTTAGAAGGTGCATGCCTGAGTACTGCATTCTGTGGTGTATATGGGCTTCAAGAAAAAAAGCACACTCCCAGTTTCCTCACAGACGAAATCCCATGGGTAAGGAATTTGTTTTGAAATCTAGAATACTCCTGAAAGAATTCTCTCTTCAATCTTATGAAAGTCTCCATTTCACCCAGAACCAAACTAAGACACTTCCAGTCGAGCATGAGAGTTTCCACTGCTTATCTCTGCATTCTTACAAGCGTTAAATTCTTCAGTGTGCTGCACCCTCGTTCAGATAATAGTAACCTTGACCAGATACCTCTCTCAAATCAGATGTCCCGGCTCAGTTTTCCTAACATTGTTAGGCTGCCATGGAAACATGAATACACACTTTCTCAAGTTTGCATCGCACTTCATTGAGATGAGCAGCACTTGCAGACTGAGGGTTAAGTATTAATATTCCTTTTCTTAATGTCTTATGGCTGAAAGTAAGCCGGTTCCATAGACCTCCTGAATAGATTGCCTCCTCCTAAACTTACATATTGAATGGCATTCAGCCCCACATTTAGACTCCCAGTTGTGTGAAAGGATGGAGAGCTGAAGATGCAATGTAACATAAATTGAAAGGCAGCTGAGAAATCATCCCTTGGACCTGAAGTGGAAGCCACAGAAATTACTGGAATAGATGTTGACTAGTCACTGAGCCAGTATTATGCAATGATTAGATCAGGCTTCCTCAACCTCGGCCCTCCAGATGTTTTGAGACTACAATTCCCATCATCCCTGACCCCTGGTCCTGCTAGCTAAGGATCATGGGAGTTGTAGGCTAAAAACATCTGGGGGGCCAAGGTTGAGGAAGCCTGGATTAGAGCAAGGATGTAGAAACTGTGGCTCCCCATATCTTGTTGGACTACAACTCCTATAAGCCCTGGCTAACACAGATAGTGGTCAGGGATGATGGAAGCTGTAGTCCAACGGTTCTCAACCTGTGGATCCCCAGATGTTGTTGGACTACAACTCCCATCATCCCTGAGCTCTGGCCTTGCTAGCTAGGGGTGATGGGAGTTGTAGTCCAAGAACTTCTGGGGACCCACAGGTTGAGAAAGGCTGCTGTAGTCTAACAAGACTGGCCATGTTTGCTTGGAGTTGTAGTTCAACAATGTCTTGGAAGGCAAAAAGTTCTCCAACCCCTGTTCTAATCTGTACTCAGCTATGATGCTTTCATTGAGATTCCTGCATTTCAGGGAGTTGGAGTAGATGGCTCTTGGGGTCCCTTCCAACTCTACAATTCTATGAAGCTCACTGGGTGTCCTCGGGTCAATTGCTGCCTCTCAGCCAAAGCTACTCCACAGACCTGCTGTCAGGATAAAATGAAGTAGGACTATCTGGAGGAAGGGGAAGATAAAAATGGCTTTTTATAGACATAAAATACTCTATGGTTTCTTCATTCAGGAGGCTGCGGAAGCTAAGCTGAGCAACTTCTGTCCTCCATTCCAGACAAGCACAATTCTATATAATTTTTTTGTTAAATGTTAATTTACATTTCAAAATATTCATTTAAATAACCTTAAATCAATGACTTCCCTTCCTCTCTTTCTGTGGTTCAATACCAAATATCCCTACATATCTTACATGAACTAAACCATTCAGTAAACCATTGTTACATTCATCAAAACTTATTTACACTGTTGAATTTATATCAGTGCTACCAGTGTTTTTAAGTGACATGAGCGCCGCGACCCCAGAGTCATCTGCGACTGGACCTAACGGTCAGGGGTCCCTTTACCTTTACCTAAGGGACCCCGTTATGGCTAAAATTCCTATGCACATTTAACTGGAAGTAAGCCCCGTTGGACAGTGCTAGAACGTGCTTCAACATGCATAGGATTTGGTCTGCATCGTGTGACATTCCTGGGGGTTCCAACAACTCTTAATCTGACATTGTTCCAGGTGGGCAGTAAGTAAAAGAAATTAAATGGGTATCTAAATGTTCCAGTTCTGCCCTTGGGGCTAAACCTAGAGGAAAAGATATCCCATTGAATTACTAAGTGCCGCTGCCACCACTTACTGAATTAAGAAAGCAGTAGGATTCTAAAGTGATAAGGAAAGAAAGTTCTAAATGGGGTACCAGATGACCAGTTCCCAAACTCTGGTCTCCCAGTTTTCATAAAGGTTTAGCATGTACCTATTCATTACCTTGGCTAATAAGACCATGGAATGAGCTATCCTATAAGCATGCAGAATGTGGTTTTTTGTGTGCACCATGTATATGAATATATACACTATACTCAAATGGAATTACACTTTTGTTGACTGTATAAATTGTTGGTTGATTTTGTTTGACATAATTAACTCAATTTCCTCTCCAGTTAATGAACGAAGGTGGTTGTTTTTTTTAAGTTTCACTGAAATCATAGCCATCAAAGTTGAAGTATATGTATGCTTAAGCAGATAGGAAAATACTGCACCCACAGAAACACCCATAAACACAGAACAATAAATGTCATCACATTCGTAAAATTTATTGTTCTGCAAAAATAAATAACTAATGGGATCGGATACGGGTGGCTGGCATTGGTATCCCATGGTTTATATAGTGAGTTTCAGAGTTGGATGTGTGAAAAAAGGGAGATGAAGTTTCTTAAGAAGAGGGATTACACCTGTATACTGCAAGAAAAATATACTTTAAGAAAAAGACAGGAAAGTGAAGGGAACATATTATTTGCTGAATAATGTACAGTAAGTGGGAATTGGACCGTATGCAAGCAAAACAGTGATGTGTATGAGATAGCAGCAATAGAACTGTCAGAGCTGTACGTAAACCTGTTATAAATATGCTCTCCCACACACACCTTTATTTATTTAAGCTCTCATTCTTTGCTCCTGAATGCATCCTTATCAACAAACAGGGAGGAAGGAAAGACACTCTGTGTGAACAAAAAAAAGTAAAAGAGAAGTGTAGTAAAAGCCTACCTTTGAACCTGAAAGTCAGATACATTGAGAACAATGTGCAATGCAAGTCCACTGATGCTTCAGGGCCTCTTTTTCAATGAAGGCATCAGCTCCTGGGTGGCCTGGAAATATCACTGCTCTAAAACACATGCTTGAGGAAAGAAAGCCTTCTATAATTTTTGTATCTTAGATATGTGTGGTGGGTCAAATGAGCATCCAAATGGCCTTCTCAAGCCTGTCCATTTTGCATTTTTTGCATGGCCTGAAGGCAAACGAGGCCATCACCTTGCTGAAGGTTAGCAGGTCTGGATGGGTGACCGCCTGTGAACCACGTTTATGTCCCCTTCGGTTCCATGATGGAAGACAGGCAGGGTATAAATGCAAGAAAATAAATAAATAACATTAAAATGCCGGACCATCAATGTGATTTTCCAATGTTAGTCGCTAGCATTGCAAGCGGTGCGAGGACCAAAGTTTTCTTACCATGGTAGAAGTTTCCACCTGGAAGCTGAACTGAAGAAATGGTATTGCATGACAGAACACTAATGTGTTGATAATGAATGTGTAAGCTGAAGTAGATACTGGCATTTGCTATCAAATGAGAGCAACTGCTGTATATGAGATTATCCAGATTAAGGGCCTGAGCCAACCTGGAAATAATTAAAAATTGTAGGCCCAGTTAAAAGGTTGTGCTGACCCGCAAAGCTCTTGCACCTCTCCTCTCTTGTGCATGGAGTCTGGTTTCAGGCCTGGATTTGGCGCCGAAACAGCCTTGATTGCCATGACTGATTGCCGTTATCAGAAGAAGACAGGGGTGTGAATGTGTGTGTGACCCTCTTGGTTCTCCTTGACCTCTCATTGGCTTTTGACACTATTGAATATGGTGGTTCTTCAGAACAACTCAAAGAGATAGGCATTGGAGCTATTGTACTACAGTGGTTTCGTTCCTACCTGCAGGGTCACCACCAGAAAGAAATACCAGGACAGGGGTCAGCAAACTTTTTCAGCAGGGGGCCAGTCCACTGTCCCTCAGACTATATTTTTTTGGGGGGGAGAACGAATTCCTATGCCCCACAAATAACCCAGAGATGCATTTTAAATAAAAGGGCACATTCTACTCATGTAAAAACACTCTGATTCCCGGACCGTCCGCGAGCCGGATTTAGAAGGCGATTGGGCCAGATCCAGTCCCCAGGCCTTAGTTTGCCTACCCATGTACAAGGAGGCAGTTGCTCAGCCCCATGGCTTTTGAATAGTCCCACAAGGGTCTATTCAGTGTCCTAGGCTGTTCAACATCTGTATGAAGCCCTTGGGAGCTGTCTTCTGGGGATTTGGAGCTCAGTTGGTTAGAGTGTGGCACTGATAATGCCAAGGTCGCAGGTTTGATCCCCGTAAAGGATAGCTGCATATTCCTGCATTGCAGGGGGTTCAACTATGATGCTCCAGGTCCCTTCCAATTCTATGATTCTGTGGTATGCTGATGACACAATTTAGGAGAGACTGTGAAGATATTGGAACAGAATCTGGAAGCAGTGATGGATGGGGGCTAATAAACTAAGACCGCATCCTGGTCATATGGAAGTGCTGTGGGTGGGCGTTTTCCAGGTCTGGGAATTAGAGGGGTTATACTTCCACTGAACACGGGTTGGCGGGTGTGGCACTGACGCGGGTGGCAGTGTGGGTTAAACCACAGAGCCTAGAACTTGCCAATCAGAAGGTCGGCAGTTCGAATCCCCGCAACAGGGTGAGCTCCTGTTTGGTCCCAGCTCCTGCCAACCTAGCAGTTCAAAAGCACGTCAAAGTGCAAGTAGATAAATAGGTACCACTCTGGCGGGAAGGTAAACGGCGTTTCCGTGCGCTGCTCTGGTTCGCCAGAAGCGGCTTAGTCATGCTGGCCACATGACCCAGAAGCTGCCTGCGGACAAACGCCGGCTCCCTCGGCCCATAGAGCGAGATGAGCGCCGCAACCCCAGAGTCAGTCACGACTGGACCTAATGGTCAGGGGTCCCTTTACCTTTACTTCCACTGAAGGATCAGGTTCATAGTCTGGGAATACTCCTGGATTCCAGCTTCTCACTGGAGTCTCTAGTGACACCTGTAGCTGGAGGGGCTTATGCTCATCTTAGGCTAGTTTGCCAGCTATGGCTATTCCTGGATCGGGGTAGACTGACCACAGTTGTCCATGCTCTAGCGGTGACCTCCTGCCTAGACTACTGCAATGTGTTTAAGTCCATTGATTTCAATAGGCATCCTCTAAGCAGGACTAACTTTGGATAACTCGTTATAAAATTGACCCATGAAAAAAATAATGCTGATTAGGAAAAGCTAGTATTTACAAAGAGGATGGATGAAAAGAGCATTTTCTTTTTCTAAGAATCATGGATGATAAAAATCCTTTCGTGAATCAGGGACAGCCTTCATAACGAGTATATTTTTTTGCCATAATACAGGTTCTTGCAAAGTCTAGCAGAAATAATTGGATTTTCTCAGCTCTTGCCAACACTAAAATAGTTACATGAGATGAAATTGCTGCTGGTTTGTATCTGAGATATCTGAAAATATTCCTAATGCTCTTTTAACTTGGGCTAAATTTAACTTGATCCGGGAGTCTATTTGATCAGAAGACTGGAATGCTGAATATGCTCTAAGCTAAAATAGGTATGAATCTCAAGAAATAAGAAGGGGGGGAAATCCCATAAACTTAATAGTGCTTCAGAACTCCGTTCTTCTCCTGCTTCCTTTGCAAAGAGGTTTGTCTTAACAGGGGTTTCTGCATCATGGCAAAGGCCTTTAACAACAACAACAACAACAACAACAGGAGCAGCTTGCCTATTTTATCACATCTGAAAAGCCACAAGAAAGAGGACCATCCTTCTCATATGCTATCATAAATGTTTGACTTAGCATGTGGTTAGGCCATTTTTTTAGCATGAAAAAGGAATCTGGAGAGGGAGAATTGTCTCCCACTCCAGGCAGTTTTTCATAAAAGTACTAGAAAATGCTGATGGGCTGATAAAGGCTTGTTAAGCTTTATAATGGGTTCCTTTCCTTTCCACCTCCCTTTAATAGCTTTGTGACATCTTGAAAACCCAGAGTTCAGTTCCAAAACCAATATGAATGCCCAGCTTCAGTGCTAAAACATGCAAAACGGTAATAATTAAGAGCGCTAATAATTAAGTGCCTCTGAGCATGCGTAGAAAGCTCTTCCCTCTCTCATTCGGGTTGCCAACTTTCTCCAGCAAGGCTCTTGTAATTTTAGGAGTTAGTTTTGACATTATTCAGCAAGTTCAAAAGGTGAGAGAACAGCAACAGGTCAAACCAATGTGGGAAGAACATTTTGACAGCATAGGATATTTTCATATGCAAAGAGTTTCAATGACTCTAAGCCAAAAATATATAGGGATCTTGCATTGTTTTATTCTTTGTTTTAAATTTTCTGCTACCCTTCAGCCAAAGAAGGTTCCCAGAGCAGCTCACAAAAGAAGGTCTGTGCCCTCATACTTGATCAAAACATGTTTGTTTATCTCTTTGATTTCACTTGGAGATGATAACTAATCCAAATGACATATGACTGAATTTTTCTTCCCCCTCAGACTGGCTCTGCACGCGCTAGCAGCTCAAAACACAGTGAGGTCATCCCCCACCCGCTGTATTTCAAGTTGCCTTCTTGCATCGCTGTACACACCAGAGGTCAGGGATGTTGCCAACTTATGTGCATGGCTTGATTTGTTTCACCATGCTGAATTCCAGTACACTGAAGCTGTCATTGGCGCATGTGCTGTCATATGTGGCTATGCAATGCCCTTTCCTTCGCTTCAGCTTAACCATGGCTTATGTTTTCTAGTTGGATGGGAGCTAGTTTGAGGGAAACTGCATCAAACAGGAGCATTTCTCAAGAGCCTACTGGATACAGAAGGGCTGCAGCTAGCATCCCACGTTGTTGTTGTTCTTGTTTAGTCATTTAGTCGTGTCCGACTCTTCGCGACCCCATGGACCAGAGCACGCCAGGCACTCCTGTCTTCCTGCCTTCCCACGTAAGGTAAAGGGACCCCTGACCATTAGGTCCAGTCGTGACCGACTCTGGGGTTGCGGCGCTCATCTCGCTTTATTGGCCGAGGGAGCTGGCGTACAGCTTCTGGGTCATGTGGCCAGCATGACTAAGCCTCTTCTGGCGAACCAGAGCAGCACGCGGAAACGCCTCTTACCTTCCCGCCAGAGCGGTACCTATTTATCTACTTGCACTTTGACGTGCTTTCGAACTGCTAGGTTGGCAGGAGCAGGGACTGAGCAACGGGAGCTCACCCCGTCGCGGGGATTCAAACCGCTGACCTTCTGATTGGCAAGTCCAAGGCTCAGTGGTTTAACCCACCGTGCCACCCACGTCCTGTCTTCCCACGTACATGGCAGCAAACACCAACATTGGGAGCATGCTGGAACTGCAGTAAGCTGTAGTGCAGCGGTCAGCAAACTTTTTCAGCAGGGGGCCAGTCCACTGTCCCTCAGACCTTGCGGGGGCCCAGACTATATTTTTTGGGGGGGGGGTGTTCAAATTCCTATGCCCCACAATTAACCCAGAGATGCATTTTAAATAAAAGCACACATTCTACTCATGTAAAAACACGCTGATTCCTGGACTGCCCGCGGGCCGGATTTAGAAGACGATTGGGCCAAATCCGTCCCCTGGGCCTTAGTTTGCCTACCCATGCTGTAGTGTGTACACACCTGTGACTTGCAGGCTGTCTTGGTGGTTTCCCTTAAGGAATTAACTCCTGTCCAAGTGCAAATTGCCTGCTTAACATGAACACCCCAGAAATCCAAACCAACTGGCCTCTTCCAATTTTTCTTAAGTGCCGAGAAGCCAACTGCACTAGCTGTTTATTAAGCATTCATCCTTATTGGTTTACAGCAAAGGTTTTAAACATTTTTTGGTTCCTGGCTCCCTTGACCCAGCTACATTATTTATGCAGCACCCCTGTGAGGGTCAGGAGCCCAGTTATGTCACCCCTTGCCTGCAGAGCTGGCAACCCCTCACCCCTTTTCGAACACCTCCCTTGTGGAGTGTTCCCTTAGCCTCTGCTCTTCTCCCCTATCCTTGGGAGTCCTCTGGACAGCTACAGCTGCTGTCCTTGTCTCTGAGCTGCTCCCCCCTGCCCCAATGAGAGGTGCCTCCACACACTGCCCCACAGGGGCCTGGGAAGACCCCCTGGCCAGCCCCCAGACGCACCATTTGCCTGGGGGGCTTGTAGCCAGGGCTGCTGCAACAAACAGCTGTGCAAGCCTCTGGAATGCAGAGACGAGAGGGTATTACAGGAGGGAGGTAAGGAAAGAGAGACAGATGCCAGTGTTGTGCCCCTGACCATCATTCAAGGCACCCTAGTTGAAAGGGGAGATTAGATGGTGCTGGCTATTTAATGAGGATTTATTCTGATTTGATGAGGTTAGATGATGTATTCAAGCAAGTTTTATCCGACACTCACCCGTGCAATTTTCCTTTCCTTATCACTGTAAAGGTAAAGGGACCCCCGACCATTAGGTCCAGTCGTGACTGACTCTGGGGTTGCGGCGCTCATCTCGCTTTATTGGCTGATGGAGCCACCGTACAGCTTCAGGGTCATGTGCCAGCATGACTAAGCCGCTTCTGGCGAACCAGAGCAGCACACAGAAACGCCATTTACCTTCCCATCAGAGCGGTACCTATTTATCTACTTGCACTTTGACGTGCTTTTGAACTCCTAGGTTGGCAGGAGCAGGGACCGAGCAACGGGAGTTCACCCCGTCGCGGGGATTCAAACCGCCGACCTTCTGATCGGTAAGTTCTAGGCTCTGTGGTTTAGCCCACAGGGCCACCCGCATCCCTCCTTATCACTGTAGCTTACCTCTATTCCAAACTCAGTTCCAGAGAGGGGCTATTGGCAGTGAAACCAGACCCAGCCTGGCAGAGGGAAGGCAACCTTTCAAAAAGAGTTTGTTGTTTTTTTGGCCACTGTGACTTTCACTGGGTTAAAAAGGTAAAGGTAAAGGGACCCCCGACCATTAGGTCCAGTCATGGCCGACTCTGGGGTTGCGCCGCTCATCTCACTTTATTGGCCGAGGGAGCAGGTGTACAGCTTCTGGGTCATGTGGCCAGCATGACTAAGCCACTTCTGGCGAACCAGAACAGCACACGGAAATGCCGTTTACCTACCCGCCGCAGCGGTACCTATTTATCTACTTGCACTGGTGAGATTTCGAACTGCTAGGTTGGCAGGAGCAGGGACAGAGGAACGGGAGCTCACCCCGTTGCGGGGATTCGAACCGCCGACCTTCTGATCGGCAAGTTCTAGGCTCTGTGGTTTAACCCCCAGTGCCACCCGCGTCCCTTTCACAGGGTTACTAGGTCACAATACTGAGCTCGATCGAAT